CTGCGGCGCTGGGCAGTCCCTCCGGCCCCGCGGCCGCGGAGCGCGGGGGAAGGACAAGACCTGTCAGCCCTTCAGCTCGCCAAAGCTTTGGGCCACTTCTAATTCCCTCGGTGGGCGGGGTGGGGGGGGAATGCAGCGATTAAAACAGCACGTCAAACGCTACTTCACTTTTGTAACAGACCAAAGCGTGTGGTACCCAGGTGTGTGTCTAAAACGCGGCTGTGCAGGGTTTTTGGGGTTTTTTGTGAATAAACTGTACACTCCTGAAGAACAGAGTCTCTCTTAAAGGAAGCTGAGGAGATTTCTTAAGCTGAGTCTAACTGGGGGAAACGCAGGGAGGCTGCCAGCAGTTGTGACCTGAGCAGTAGTCCTGGCTGCGCACGTATCTGATCCCGCTGTATTGCAATATTAGTCCCTCCAGAATGTGCAGCTTTAATTCTTTCTTAAGTAGGTGTCACCAAGTGAAAAGTCCAGACTGTTTGTTAAAACCAGTGCTGGCTATTTGCTGATTGCATCCTAATTGTGTGGCATATACAGAAGGCTCACTGAAGATGCATGAAAGTCATGGCCTCATAAAAGCAAGCACATCAACCTCTCTTTCGGGGCCAACTCGATGGTAAGGGACTCTTGCCTGTGCAAGGTTTATAGGATTGGGCTGTGCTGGACGAACCAAAAGAAACTTTCACAGAACAGACTGACAAGTTATAGAAGGAAAAAACTGTAGTCAAGGAATGGCCAATGACGATGATGATGTTGCACTGCTTTTAAAGTGTACCAGAGGAATAGCCGAAGACATCAGAAAAGATCTGTGCAATGGGGCTAGAAACTCTAAGAAAGTAAATGGATTCTCTTTCTAGGAGTCATATTTAGGCTTTACAAGTTCATAATCCCAATATACCCAACAGTAACTCTGAGAGTTACCTGGAAACAACTGTGTTTATTCGAGGCCATATAAACATTACTAAAAGTTCAGAAGACTTTCATTCTGCTCAGTAATATCATTCAACATATTTACATAGCTGGCATATTCTCCAAGAGGTGGGGGGAAAAAAAAAAAAAAAGAGCATTTAAAGAGTATTTTGGCTAATTTTACAAGGAGTCTGAGTTTTGCTGGAAGCCAGTGCGATTTACGTGCTTATAAAAAGCTGCTTTTAAAGATTTTATCCAAAGCAGTCAGGATAAGATAGTGAGATTTTTAGGACCTACTCAGCACCTCTGAAAATAAAGCCTGCAAGGCATTAATGTTTTGTTCTTGAATGTGACCTCTATACGGTACAGTCATCCATTGCGTAACGAATTTTTGGCTATAGTATAAAAAAATGAACAACTTCTTACTTTTATTCCCAGCGAGTTAATCGGCCATACATGTTTGTAAGGCATGTAAACCAACAGAGCCACAGCCTAGAAACGCAGCAGGACATATAAGGACCTGGAACAACTCGCAGTCACTGTGCTCCCGTGAAACCGCTTGCAGACAGAGTCATGCCCTTATTGAAGACCTGCTTCTGTTCCCACTGTGCCTGGGGGGTGCGCGGGGGCTGTTTTTAATTTCAGCAAGAGCCCCGCTTGATCACCGTTTGAACCACTCACAAGCTCTTTGCAGAAGGAGGCAGTTGTCTCCAGAGCTGCAAAAGATCAACCCCCTCAGCACTCAAAGGAGGGAGAACAACTGAGAAAACTAAAATGGTGTTATTTTATAATATTTTTTTTTAGGCCTTCCTGCAAAGTTTTCTTTGCCAAGGACCCTCTGAAGATAGTGCGTGCTCAGGGCCAATATATGTTTGATGAGAAAGGAGAAAAATACTTAGACTGTATCAACAACGTTGCACATGGTAAGCAGTTTAACTTGTAAGACTGCTTCTATTCCTTCATTTCTAACAAGGACCAGAACACTCTTCTTCCCAGTGATGATGTTCACAGTGCTTCTTTCAGTCTCCTTGTGTGGTTCAATAACTAACTGCTTGCTGGTAATTAATTATTTTCTTCTTTAGTTGGCCACAGTCATCCAGACGTGATAAAGGCTGCAACAAAACAGATGGAACTGCTCAATACAAATTCCAGGTTCCTGCATGACAACCTTGTTCAGTATGCACAGCGTCTTACAGCCACCCTGCCCGAGAAACTCTCTGTTTGCTATTTTGTTAACTCCGGGTACGTCTGAATATTTATTTTTTTCCATTATGACTATTTTGCGTCTGTTTGAGATGGACACTCAGAACATCTTGGTCTAAATCTTACTAAGCAGGACTTAGTAATAAGCAACAAAAATATTTCCAGTACGGATCAAAGGATCCTTCCCATTTGCAGCTGTCATATTGAGTGATGGCTCAATGCAAGACAGCCAAAACATGAAACTGGTCTGCTGAATGCTATGCAAAAAAGGGGGGAAAAAAGCCAGAAAAGCAAATTAAGATTGCAAATTGGAGAACGTTATGTATAGACTGGTGAATGCTATCTGTAAATTGACATATGACCTTGGGAACGAGTAGTCTTCTTCAGGTGGTCTGTTTAGTCTGTGATCACTTAAGTTGCCAGAACAGACAATCTGCAGGTACTTGTGAGCAGAGGGGCTGCTGTGGGACAGCCTGGAAGTTTTGAGTCTTCATCCGGGGAGCAGATCCGTGTTCTCTGCTGCCTGCTGGTGCAAGCGCTGAGGAGGACGGAGCCGTCATGGAGGGCTGGAGACGGGGCTGGTGCGCTGTTGCTTTTCGAGGGTTTGCGGCTGCATCACTCACTCAGCTGCGAAGTGGTCTCATTTGTACCAAGAGGAGGTGAATGTCTACAGGCAAACTGGGGGAGGGAAAGAAAGCATCTCTTTGTTTGCTGTTTATACAAAGAGCTGTTTTTTCTTTTGCCCTCTTACATGGCATTTACAGTCTCAACCTTGGCATTGTAATCTGTATAGCAACAGAGCCTGCTGTGTTGATTTATTATATCCATTAGTCCCATGCCTCCTCTTCTGTGTCAGAACACCGTTTTAATTGGAAGCGCTTCCTCACTGTTTTGCGGCTGTATGTGTTATTATGCAGGTCTGAAGCAAATGATCTTGCTTTACGACTGGCTCGGCAGTACCATGGGCACCAAGATGTGATCACCCTTGAAAAGTAAGTACATAGAGCAGTTTATGTGAATGCAGCCAGCAATACCTGCCATTACTTCAGAAGCGGCTTTGCAGCAACCCCCTGCTGTTTGTACTCCGCTGCCTGCTGAAAGCAAAGCTTTGTTGCTTTCATACTAGAACAGGTCAGGAAATCCCTCTTCCACATTTGGATCAACGCAGGTTTTGAAGATCTCTGAAAATAAGCTTGTCAGTCACCCCAGAAGGTCAGTCACCTGTTACAGGGCATTTCCCACAGAGACTCTCAAAGCAATTCAGGCCAGAGACTTGAATGTTGGTTTTCAACGTCAATGAGTGGTCTGGCCACTGGGCTGCTCTGGAAAAGGGCTTTGTGTTTCTCACGCTCTGCTGGACATGTTTCTTTTTGTACAAATAAATATTCAGTGGTCAAGAAGAAAGATCCTGTAGCTCTGCAAGGGTGCTGCACCAATGCTCAGGTCTCCTCCAGTGAACACAAGTATGCACACAAAACCAAGCAGCTCCAAAATCAGAAGGCACTGAGAGGGCCGTCAGCCATGGGGAATATGGCTGACCACATCTCTGGGTTTCCCTATCCTAGATGCAGCTGTAGGGTTGGTTATGCTGCTGTAGGGCTGAATCTTCTTCTCAAGTTGTGATTAGAAAGTCCAGCCAGAGCAACTGCAAGAGCCCATGTCTCTATCTGGACAGCACAAAGGTTGTTTGACTCAGCTGTGCTCAAATCCCTCTTTGCCCTCCTTCACTTAGCTGGCCAAGATTTGGAGACACTGAGAGTAGCTTCCATCAGGAGAGGCTGAGGATGGAGCTGGCTCTGTCACTGTTTCACTGCAACATCTTGTCTTCCTGAACACCACAGGGTATTTCTTTGCCCAGGTCCCAAGGCTCTGTAGGCTTCTGTCGTAGTTACCATCCCAGTCATGGTGGGCTTTCTGTCCTTTGTGTCCATTGGCAGATTCTGTTGACTGGCTGAAAGAAGACAGAGGAGTTTAAAAACATCCTCTCTACCCTATGTGTGTGCTACTATGAGATTGTGGTGTGTCTTTGATTTGGTTTGAGGTCCCCTTCACTTCAAGTTTATGGCTGAACGAAAGTGTTGATTCCCTGAATTAAGCATGTATGCTTCAGGTTCAGAAAGCTCCGTTTCCTCATTTCTAAATCGAATTTGGCTCAGTAGTAACCAGCTTTAGCATACTATTGCAATGTAAATCTTTTATATTCAAACAATATTTGTCCTTATCCTGAAAGTGGCTTCTGCCAAACAGTCCTGCCTGTAGGGCCTTCAGGGCAGGTCGCGGTGTGCTGCTGCTGCTGCATAAGATCCTCACCTTCCGATGCCATGCACACTCTTGAGAGTCTTTGCAATGGTCTAGCTGGCAAAGCTTGGGTTGGCCAGAGTGGGGCCCACAGATGGGAGATGAGGGAGCTGGACCCACCCTTCAACTGGTAGGTAAGGCTGCTTAGGGCAGCCACCTTAGAGGCTGTGCGGTTCAGGGGACATCATTCAGTGTCATGCTGGCACTTGATTTTGTGCACGAAAAAAACCTCCTGGTTCCAGTCTTGTTAGTGAATTAAAATCAACAGCAATTTTATATTGCCTTTGAGAGAAAGACTGAGTAAATTAAATCAAGATCCCTTCACAAACAGTGCTACTGTGTTGTAGATACAGTCGCTTATTTTTGGATTATTTATGGGCACGGTTGTAAATTTAGCTCTTCTATACATTTGGTGAAAAGTGACTTCGATATTTAACACTCATGCAGTGCTTACCATGGCCATGTTACATCTCTGATTGACATCAGTCCCTATAAATTTAATCAGCTGGGAAAGGACAGCAAGAAGGAGTTTGTGCATGTGGTAAGTGTGGTTTTTTGCTTTTTGTCATTTTTATGCCTGTTGTGCAGCACATTGAATTACCCACTTCTGGTGTAAATATACTTTCATTCTGTTTTGCTGATGCTAGAGTCCATACACTTGGTTGTTCGTCTGTATCTGTGGATACAGCAAAATTGTTTGCTTTTGGATTTCTAAGAGGTTATTCAGCTGTGATTTCCTTCATAGTGCTACAAGTTTCTTCAGTCACTGCACTGTGTAGTTACAGTTTGAAGAAATTAGCCAATATCTGTTGTGTTGGTTTGGCTAAAGACATGCAGGGCTCTTGAGTCTACTTCCAAACACTGGAAAGGCAGACCCCACAAGTTCACATAGGTCTGGGTATAGAGTTCATGGGTGTCCCACTGAGTGAGATACTGCTTGATTTTCAGCATGAACATGTATATCTTACAAAGACAAAAATAATTCTCAGCCCAGAGATGTACACCAAGTAGGTCTTTCCTATCTAGACCTCCTCGTGTTAACCACACTGACAAAGTAGTATCCACCTTTTTATACCGCTTCCTTTCTCTTATTTACTGAACCTCTCCCAACACTGTTTGTAGAGGCTTGAAGGTCATACAGATTCGTACCGTGACTAGGATGCTGGAAGTGACAGACTGGAAAACCCCATTCTCCAGTTGCAGAAATGGATCTTTCTGCAAGAATCTGAACTAAGATGATGGATGAGGACTCAGCATTGTGTCTTGGGGGAGAGGAGGGACAGTCTTGAAAGGTGGATGAGGTAGATGATGGCTCTTTCAACAGTTGCATCCAGTAGTGTTGAACACATCACAGGGCTGGATTGAGTTTAAGCTCCTGTAAGCATTTTTGCAATTCCGTGCAGGAATTCAAACTGTACTAACTCCTATTATCTACCTGTGTGGAAAGACAAAAATGCAGAGCAATAGAAAAGAAAGTGTGTGTTTCACAGAAGGTTGGGCTTTAAAAAAAAAAATTAAAAATTGGTCTTTTCAGGCTCCTTCTCCAGATATCTACAGAGGGAAATACAGGGAAGACCACCCAGATCCAGCAAGTGCTTATGCTGAAGAGGTGAAAAAGATTATTGAAGAAACACAGAAGAATGGACGCAAGGTGTGTGTTTTGTGCTCTAGAAATGCTGAGGCTTCATCTATTAAGTGTGGCATGGGGGCATGAAGCAGGCAACTAAGGACATGTTTCTTTATTCAGTTTCCCTTGCTTCCCCCTGCCCTTCATTTTTCTATGGTGCGTTCTGTGTTCAAAATAGGCCGTTTTTTCTACCTGATGCTCTCATCATAATTTTTCTAGGCATCAATGAAAAGACCAATAATACAGTTGTAAATAAGCAGATACAACCAAAGCAGTTTAATTTCCTATTTTATGCATTGAATCAGTAGATTGTAAATATCTTAGGGCAAGCTTTGAAGTCAGCTGAGAAACTACATCACAAATTGAAGCAAGTATATATAAAAGTCTCCAGGTCATGGAGCAAATATGCTAGATAAAATCTTGATACTACATTTATGAGTCTAGTAGCTTAAGATAACTTTGGAGTCATCAAAAAATGTGAACCTTTCAATCATATTCAATATGACCATGATAAAACAGACAGTTTCTGATCAGGTTTATCTAAAATGTTTGTTAATGTTTTGTATGATGGCATTAGTGTTTTGAGACATGTGGGGCTTGATCCAAAGCCCACTGAAGTCACAGAAGACTTCAGTGGAGATTGGAACAACATGTTCCCTTCTAGTCCAATGGACTTACATCACTCTTCTTTTAGTTTCTTCATCAACTTTTTTTTATTCTCTACTAACGGATAGTTTTGTTTTTTTTCTTCCCTTGTTTCCTTTCTTTTGCATATTTCTTAGGTTTTGGTGACATAGACCTGTGGCAGGACAAGTTGTGCTAAAGGCTAAGCCTCACATGCTATGGGAAGCTTCGTACTCTTTGGCCGTAGCATGCCTCTTCAAATATAGTGTACGGTTCTTTACACGTTACTGCTCGGCCTTGTTTCCAGGAAGACTGCGCCAGCCCAGAGAGACCTCTTGATGCTCAGGGAGGGGTTCACAAGTGGTGTGGGATGCAATCCCTTAAATAGCAGACTTATGCTGAGACTTTGGGGTAATATCATATCTCTGCTGCATAGACCTCTGCTGTTGACGAGAAACAAATTTTGATGTTCCAGTGTATCTGATCCGCTGCTTTTACCCTTCCTGACTTGAAATAACTTTCTTTTTCATTCCTAGCAACTGGAATTATTTCAGCTGTAGAATTTTTCTCCTCTTTTGTCAAGTGCCTCATGCTGACATTTTACTTGTGTAGTTATTTGCATTAGGCAGGGGTGCCCAAAGCGTAGCCTCAGGTCATCTTACAGTTCAGTTTCTACCCACCTGTTCTACCTGGTGTTCAGGATTGAGCAAAAAAGCTGATCACCACATACACCCATTACTGGAGAGCCTTGGAATTAAGCAAGTTTCATTGACCTTTTGGGGAAAATGACACACACTGTTGTGTGTCTCCTGTAAATTGAAATTTATAAATAAATTTACAGAGCTCCCAGGAGCCTGATCCAGTATCCACTGACACCAGTGTCTTTCACTTCAACAACTGTAGGACTAGGGGTTAAAGGAGCTCCTTGTATTCCCATCAGGTTACAAAGGTGGCCCTGGCTACTGCAAATTTGGGCACCCCAGATTACAAAATAAATACATTCTTTAGCCATAGCTGTTCTCAAGAGCCCTCAGTTGTCCAACTCATTGCGTGATTAAATTAAGACACACATTGAAACATTTATTTCTAGACTGTTAGATGTTTGTGCAAAAGCCAAGTAGATGAACACAGCTCTCACCTGAGTTTGTTTTTTGTAGATTGCTGCTTTCATAGCCGAATCCATGCAGAGCTGTGGAGGCCAAGTAATTCCACCTGTGGGCTATTTCCAGAAAGTGGCAGAGTACGTACATCACTTCAAAAGGACATAACTGGAAAATTAACCAAACAAACAGGTTTTTCACTATGGGCTTATCCAATCAATTCTGATATGACCCTCTCATGTTCTTAACTATCCATGGTTCCTTTCTACTTTAAGAGTATGATTCCACTTCTATTTTTTATGGAACACCAACTAAACAATTGTGTTTAGCTGGATAATTATCTTTCCTTTTCTATCTTTAATTCTCAGGCTATAAGTTTGATGGAAGATGAAGATGAACCATCACAGATATAACCCTGCAGTACCATTACAGTATCCCTATTTTGCATCAAAATATCAGATTTTTTTTCTTAACATTTAGCAAACTAAAAATTTTATCAATTGAAATAGCTATAGCTGTGTTTCAGCAGCCATGTTCTTTCTTTTTTTCCTAACCTGGTCTCACACTGGAGAATTTCTGTAATACAAACTCCCTCGTACTAGATTGCCTACCCAAGACGTGTACTGCAGCACTAGTCATTCAAGCTAGTCTGTTTGTTTTCAGGTACGTGCGTGCGGCAGGTGGAGTGTTCATAGCTGATGAGGTCCAGGTTGGCTTTGGCAGAGTTGGGAAGCATTTTTGGGCATTCCAGCTGCAAGGTGAAGACTTTGTGCCTGACATTGTCACCATGGGAAAGCCCATTGGCAATGGCCACCCTATGTCTTGTGTGGTCACAACAAGGGAAATCGCTGAAAGTTTTGGTGCCTCTGGACTGGAGTATTTCAATACAGTAAGTTCATAGGTGAAGGTCTGGCTTTTTTTCCTTTGGTCTGCATTTAGCAGTTAGAAGAAGTTGTTCAGGTGATTCAGCTAACATCTGCGTCCAACACTGCATCACATTACTAAGAGCTGGAGTCAACCACAGTCTAATATCTAAAAGCAAGTGGAGAGGCTTTGAAGTACGCTCTGTACCAAGTGGTATATCTTAATATGGACAGTATTAGCTCCCTGGCGAGTCATGCATCAGCTCACGTCCATACAGATGAATTCTTCCTTACCTCTCTCTCTCCCCCCTGCCTCTGAAATGTTGACCACATAAAATTTCATTTTCTAGGGTAGGCTCTGTGTTGGTGGGGCTCATGCCCTGGCAGACCTTGCTCTGCAGTTGTCACCTAACAAAACAGTGACCCTTTACCAGGAAACATTTGAGCTGCGTGCATGCCACAGAGGAGCAGCTTTCTTATAGAGTCCTTTTTCTGCTCCTGTGACTGAGCCTTTTTCCCAGCTACCACGAATCCCCCTGCTTTCAATGGAGTTTTGTACCCTCCAGCTCAAGAAGTACCGGATCGATCACCCACTGCTCTTCACAGGAGCATTTTGCCTGCGCCTGCAAGCAGCAAACCATGAGAGCAGCCTGAACGCTTCAGCTGTGAAATCTTCAAATCACTGAAACCTGAAGCAGAGGAAGAGGGAGCCCCTCCTTTGGGCCTCTTACACCACCTAAAGTGGGGGGGCACGGTGCTCCACAGCCTGCATGGCACAAAATCCCACCTCTTCAAGCTTTTCTCACAACATGCCAAGCAGGAGAGGGCCAGTGAAAACTACATGGATAGACACAGATGGATGTTTCTGACTGGTTTCATTTTCCTATTTTTCTTTTACCAGTTTGGAGGCAATCCAGTGTCTTGTGCTATTGGTTTGGCTGTGCTGGACGTAATAGAAAAAGAAGATCTCCAAGGAAATGCTACACGTGTAGGAAATTATCTCCTGGAGTTGCTGGCTGAGCAAAAGGGGAAACATCCTTTAGTGGGAGATATCAGGTGGGTGCCTTACAACAATGTCAGAGAAGAAAAATAACTCTGCTAGAAAAATCAACAAGTTTTGGGTGAGGGGAACTTAGAAACATTTTGCCATTAATATGCTACACCTCTTTTTTTAAAATGGACTATCCAAAACTGATACTGCAAGGCCATGTATTTTTCAAAAAAGTTGTCCATCCATCTGCTTAGTTAGGTATAAGCGTAGCCACTGGAAAAGAGAGAGTAAGAGAAAGAGCCACCCACATGCAATAGCCCAGTTGTCTGCACACCGTTGGGACGATGGAGACCTTGTTCAAATCTCTGGTCCATTTCATTTGGAGATGTTAGTGTGGGTTTTCCTCATCTCATGATACTACCGTGATAGCTGCCTTCAGGCTTTTGCAGGGGAGGGTGGATTGTGGGGGTTTTTAGTTCTTGTTTTTGGTTATTTGTCTTCCACAGCTCACTGGCTTGAGGTTTGCAGGATAAGAGAGATTTCTTAATTGGCCACATAGCCTTAATGAGCCAGCTAAATTTATTTATCCAGAAATATCTGTTATCCCGCTTGATTGTCTGAGGTAGCCAGTGCAAAAAGATAACCAAGGAGAAAGGCTCCTCTCTATCCTGGTCCTTCCCCACTTGTGCCCCAGGGAAGGGAGTTGCAGTTGTTAGACATAGGTTTTGCATTTGCAGCAGAAGGTTCAGGTTACTGGCACTGGATTTCACTTATCTGTGGTTTTTTCTCTACTCCAGGGGTGTTGGATTGTTTGTTGGAGTGGATCTGGTGAAAGACCAACAAAAGCGAACACCAGCCACAGCTGAAGCCCTTCACCTTATTTACAAGTAAATGTTTTTTAAAGACTACGTGCAGTGATCAAACCCTCCTCATATTCCCAAGCAGTTAGTCATTAATTTCAGTTTAAATTTGTGTTTCTTTTGATAACATAGTACTAGAAAAAGAAAAGTTTCAAAATCTAACTGAGCCTGAAGGGTCCGACAGGACACGTTGTAGTTTTGTACCTGTGTCTAACACAGATGTTTCCTCTTTCCACAGGCTGAAAGAGCGTCAAATCCTTCTTAGTGCAGATGGACCCCACAGAAATATACTAAAATTTAAACCACCGATGTGTTTCACAACCGAAGATGCAAAACATGTAGTGGAGACAATTGATGCACTTCTCACAGGTAGGCATGCTTTAGTGCTCAGAGGAACACTCTTCTTTGTTCGTGTCCAGATGAGCCGTTAGAAACACCAGCCACCGGAATCTAGGCCACTACCTGCAAGGGGAAGTAGTCAGTTACATTTCTTACCGCTTCTCCAGACTGCTGTTCTTAATGCCAATCATTATAAATAAAGAAAAAGCCCCATATGTGCTTCATCCAAACTTTTAGGCAAAATGCTGCTCTTGATCCTTTCTCTCACAGACTCAGGGTTACTACTCATTTCTGGCTGCATGTACTATATGTTAAGGAGCAAATGTATCAATTCAGCGCAAGCCTGAAAGGCATTGCTGAAACACTGGTAAAACTTCCCATAATGTGCTCTACTTTTTTTTTTTTAAACTAACTGGAACACGATTGACTCACTCAAATTTAGCCTGAAGTTTTTCAGGCTCTATTTATCTTCTACCTGGGGACCAATCCAAGGGAAGATAATGTCAGTTATGCTATTAGTGTAAGGACTCTCCGAGCCCATTCTACGTGGAACGTTCCCGTCTCCTGAGACTGTAACAACTGGAGTTGGACCAGCATGGACCTGCTGGACAAAGGCAGAATTCAGCTCTGAAAGGTCTATCTGAACCTCCATGCTAGAGCGAAGCTGCTAATTTTATTCTTTTCTTTAAAAACCCTCAAGCTACACAGTCCTAATACATTAATCACATTGCCTCAGAAAAATGTTTTAGGAAGTATTCAAAATTCTTCAGTTACTCTTCTGTGTGATAAATGCCCAGAGGAATAGCTGATTAGGTATTTTTTTTACTTCAGTCAGCTGTTAGATTGACTGTATGCTTTTTTACCCCTGGTTCTTTTTAATTTAATTATTTTCTCACTTTTTTTAGAAATGGAAGAGGCAACTGGGATGAAGACAGAAAATAATGCATCTACAAATGCTCAGTGTAAAAGAAAAGTATGTTTTGAATTTTTTTTTGAACTCTTATTCCAATAGGTGTTTGGCAAGGCAAGTATAAATTACTTTGGTAGGTCATGCCTTCATTTTTGGTGGTGAGTGATTCTGTGCCTTGAAACTGAGCTCAGAACATAACCCACTACTAGAAACCTGAGAGGATTGTGTTACTGGGGTGAATCTAAAAAGAGCTGAGTAATACAGACCTACAACAAGAAACACGTTATAGACAAGGCCCTCGCTTTGTCTGCCTCGTGTGCAAACAAGACCAACCAGATTTTGGGCTGCACAAAATTGTGAGCTCAGTAGTCAGCAGTTTTACTAGTTCTAGGTATTGCATGCTACTGATGGATATTTGGCTTTCTAAGCAAGCCTTCAACCTGGAAGGTGTCCAAGTTTTCGGAGAGTTCCAAGGATTTCATTTCCACCATAGCTCTTTGAGTGTAAATGGCTGACATGCATCCAGATCAGGACTCCTTAGGTTGCAGCCCCAGCTTTGGATAAATCATATGTAATTTCTCACACCCTTAAAACCATGTCACCCACTATGTTATAGGAAAGCTTGCTGATCTGTCCCTTGGTGAGTTTTCCAGTGATGCTGCACATGATGGGAAGGCAATAGCTCAGCTCTCTAGGGCTGTAGTAATTAAGGCAGAAACCCTATGGATTATTGGCTATCTATCTAGATTATACAGGATTTGGGGTGCAAGCCTCCTCTTACAGACATTTGTACACATTCAGTTCAATTTCTTTCAAAGCTAAGAAGTTGTGCCACTAAAAGAGGAGAGTTAGGCAGAGCTACCTAATGGGAACGAAGTCCAATGGCTGCCTGTTGGAAGACATGCCTGTGCCTTCAGTGACCTTTCATTTCTGTTTCAGACAACTGAAGGGAGTTCTCAACCAGAAGGTGCAAATGAAAGCATCGGCCATATGAATGGAGCTGCCTGCAGACAAGAGAATGGGCTTTATTCTAAAAAGCGCTCAGTGCCAAGTAAAAGAATAAGAACATGAAGAGGGAAAGTTTCTTCATTCAGTTTGAATTTGTGTCCGACTTGGTTTTGAGATGAAAAGTGCAATAGTCAGAGTCCTACGATCTGTTTGAAGTCTAGTCCTACCTTCCATAAACCAGCTGAATTCCTGTTAGCTTCAGTAGGAGTTTAAAATACCTTTCCAGATACATGAGAACTGCACCATGTGGCTTGAAATCTAGATGTGACAGAACGGACAAGTGATACACAAATACCTTGTTGCTAACGGCAGGTTTGACATAGGTACACAAACTCAGTGAAGTCTGTGGATTTACCCATATTACACAGAATCTTAATTGCTTAACTACCATACAAGAAAATGCCAATCCTATTAAGTTGAAAATTATATACTTAACATGCTATTTTTACAATATTTTAAATTTCAATATGTAATATTGAGATGCTAATTACTTCCCATGTTTTAATGGCTGAATTCAAAAAGCAATGCATGAGAGAAAAATCATTATTATCTTCCAGTGTAACTTAGGTCCTATGGACCATATTCCCAGCTGATGTAAATTGGAGTAGCTTAGTTAATGTCAAAGATGGTCTACCAAGAGTCTTACCACTGTGTGTGTAGAGACACAATGTTTATGCAGGGCATTCTCTCTTTATGTTCAAAGAAAATGAAGAATCCGGATCCTAATTTTCTATGGATAAAGCAACTTTTATAGATAACTATTTATATAGAGTAAGATTTTATGATTTTTTTTTTCCAAAATTTGGAACCCTCTCAGTTCAAAAAATATACGAGTATATATCATTTCAGACATACTGATTGACTGAATGTAACCTGAGGGTCTTTTGAAATAAGGTTCCCAGGGACAGCCCAGCTTGCATTCCCATGGATTTTAGTTGTCTGACAGCCGCGGGAATTACTGCCTGATCCTGTTGTAGCAGTGCTGTTACTTTTTGTCAGTGGTGATGAAGAGTTGTATACCAGTTGCATGAGATCCTGACACATAAATGGCTATGCTAACATTTGGTAGATTACTAAAACCAGAGGACCACTGCATAAAACATGCATGCAACCACTTTTCAGCCACTGCTTATCTGTGCTGAAGGTACTTTAGACTGACTTGCCTCCTTGTCAGTGTTAAATTTCAATGGGAGCACACAAGCCCTGCTTCTCTTTTCTAATACATGCACAACTCCATGCTATGGAAGACACTGAGGGCTTTACAAATGGTTTGTACTTCAGAAAAAAAGACAAATGTATTTCCTCTTCAGTTTCAATACCCTAAGTTCTGCTGCTTTGTAATTGCTGCTAATGACTCTACTGATACGACTGAAAATTGGGCACCTTATCATGTTTTCCACAATTTGCTACATTAATATTGATGTTTCTGGTGTAACGTCTTCCAACATCCTCAAGCTGGCTTATTTTCTGTTTCATGATCCTTGAATAATTCTTCCACAAAAATAAATCTCTTATTTGTAATTATGGTGTCCTCCACAATGAGATTTTTGTTGTTGTTTTAATTTTATTCTTCAGTAACACGTATTTGATGAGGGAAGTAACTTCAGTTTTGGCTGGGCGTTGTCTCCATGCCAAAGCAGAACTGGCTAGGTTGTGTTTTCCCCAAATCCCTACAGGGCCCTCAGCGGCTGGCAGCTCTTACCCTCCAAGCCAGATGTTACCTCAGCTGACACAGTTCAGCCCCTGCTAATGCTGCACCAGGAAGGACACCACAGGTCTTTTCCAACCTGAAACCACGCAAAGACCTACGTCAACCTAATTTGGTATGTGTCCAAAGCCACAGTTTTGGTCACTGCCCATATGGAGTGGGGCTACTTAACATTATACCTCATCCGCCACATGCAGCACCGACAGTGTACGCTTCCCAGCAAGCAAACGCTTGTGTGATTTATTGGAAGGGTTAAGTTCAAAGGCACAGAGCCCACCAGTCTATACTATGGCACTGACTGTTACGGCAGATCATTAACATATAATTTTCAAAAGCATGTCAAAAAACTAGAAAAAAACATATCCAAGTAGCCTAAATCTGAGGGGGGAGAGAGAAAGGTTACAACTTCATAAACATAGGGGGTCTCTACCTGTACCCTATCTGTGTCCTGCTTCTGCACATGCTCAAAATACATGGACCAACCATTGCTCCAACTTACTAGTGTTTTTTACCCAGTTTCTGCTTCACAAGTCAGGAAGCTCTCAACCTATTGGTTCTGCTCATTATGCAAGGTGCGAGTTACAACTCAGTCAGTCTTCTATTTATTTTCTTTAAATAAGAGAGGCTATCACTTCTATGATACACACTGAAAAAAACCCACTATCATTTAAATGGAGGAACCAATCCAACAGTTACCAGGAGTTGAGCTGGACCTACTAGAATTACTATTAATATATTATTGTTAATGCGGTATCTCAGGGTACACCCGCAAGATTATACACAATCCCTCCTGTGAAGGGCTTACTAATTAGAAGAGACTGACTAAAGGATGGGAGAGTGGAAGCAGAAATAATTAAGGCTAAACACAGAGAGAGCAGTTCCAGTCAGCTGAACTGATCAAATATATTCCCTCCACTGAACGAGCAAGGCTTTTTTACCCCCTTCAACTCTCTGTTTCCCTTTTTCTTCTTTCTACCTCTCCTGTCCTGGCTGTGCAATTCCTGTTTTTAGCCGTATGGTTCAACCTCCACCCTAGCTCTTACATTCATCAGACACCTCCATAAGCCATTTCAACTCACTAACCTTGCAGAAAAAAAATAAGACCTCGCTTTTTTCTCCACCAGTTCTCTGCAAGACTAATGAGCAGGCTCATGGAGGAGGCCTGAGCCTGCACAGGACATGCAGCAGGAGGAAGAGACAGTGGGGTGTGGGAAAGGCAGGACTCCATCCCAAGTAGGCATCACATGCTGGAGTCGTCAGTTACTTTTATCTTCACTCTAGTTCATCATCCTACTGGAAGCTGGATCAACATAATTTTATTGTATTCTCATAGTTTGCCACTGTTTCAACCACTTTTATATTGCACATTTAAAACTTTTAAGCAAACAGACTGGTTGCAGCAAGGGAAAAAGGAAGGACGGTGCTTGCTGCAAATACTGATGCAAGTGTGCCAGGGTGAGAGCCTGAACCCACTGCCAGCTAATTCCCCTACATAAACGCAAGCAGGACTGAACCTGTGTGGAGTCAGAAAGCTGTGCCTTGGACAGCACTGTTCTAGGGAGAAGAATCAGGACCAAAAGTTGCCATGTCAACACAACACCACTGAACTGCCAGGGAAACAGAGCATGCTGCATGTCCACAGCTGGGGAAAAAAAGCCTCAGCCTTAGCTACATTAAACGTTGCAATGGGAATACACTGAGTAGAAGAATTACGCATGAGCATTACATTTTGTCAGTTGCTTTTTAGATGTATGGTTTCTTAGACATACAACACAGTCTTACCAGATTAAACATTTCTAATCTTCACAGCTGTTAAGCTTGGTGGCTATGAACTAACAGACAGCCCCACCACACCAAAGTCCAGAGGGGAAAAGTCCACACTCCCCCCGCCCCCCAAAGAAGCAAGCTCTGATGATATCCGGCAAAAAGGGGGAGATAAATGAAGGGGAGCAAGGGATAAGCATGAAACACATATTTTACATGTGTCATTGCAATTTGCAAGGCATTTCTGTTAAAAAAAAATAAAGGGACATCATAAAGCAGAGACAAAATTTCATAGAATCATAGAATCATAAAATAGTTTGGGTTGAAAGGTCATCTATTCCCACCCCCCTGCAGTGAGCAGGGACATCTCCAACTAGACCAGGTTGCTCAGAGCCCCGTCCCACCTGACCTGGAATGGTTCCAGGGATGGGGCATCTACCACCTCTCTGGGCAACCTGTGCCAGGGTTTCACCACTCTCAGTGTGAAAAATTTCTTACGTTTATCCAGTCTAAATCTACCCTCTTTCAGTTGAAAACCATGTCCCCTTGTCCTATCACAACAGGCCCTGCTAAAAACTCTGCCCCCATCTTTCTTAGAAACCCCCTTTAAGAACAGGAAGGCTGCAATAAGGTCTCCCCAGAGCCTTCTCTTCTCCAGGCTGAACAACCCCAGCTCTCTCAGCCTGTCCTCACAGGAGAGGTGTTCCATCCCTCTGGTCATTTTTGTGGCCCTGCTCTGGACCCGCTCCAACATTTCATGTTTAATGTGGTAAAAGTCTGGGTCAAATATCTGACTGGGCCTGGGACACCTTTATCTGAAACCACAGCTTTCAGCATCAACATGCATAAAATACATAAAATAGAGCTTAGAAAAAGAAGTCAAAAACACCCATCAGAAAAACATTTTTAAGTGTAGAAGGCTGTTTAAACGTCTCTTGCAAAATGGGGCACAAGAATTTGCACAGGCATCTCTTGGATAGTAAGTTCCCAGTGCTGCAGATACTCTAAGCTAAGAGCTGAAAAACCAAAAAGTGTTAAAGAAGCTGCGTTCGGTAATATACTAGAGAAGACAAAGTAAGGAACTGGGATGTCAGTGAAGGAGTATTTATTGTACTGTATGGTTATGTACTGTGTATACATATATAAGCATATTGTATATAAGCATGTTTGATCTACCTTGTTTTTTTTCTCCATTTAATATAGTTATTTAGGAAAAACAAGTGACTAATGCTTGCAAGCAGAGCAAATTAGCTCATAGCAGCAGAAAGGTTAGTTTAATTTTCCAGGTTTCTCCGTGATCTTGAGCAGGTGTTCTAGTATCGTCCCTTTTCAACGTGGTCCTGGCCTGTGCTGCTGCCAGTCAAGCTCTGGCACAAGGATTATGCAAGGGAAGACAAGGCCAAATGACTGTGACGGGATTTCCCTATCTCTGCTACCCATACGCATTTGTGTTTTCCCACCTGGAACATTTGATTTTGTAGGTGCCTGCAGTTCAGCAGAAAAGCTGAAGTGGAAAAGACAAGTTATGTTTTCGCGTTTCCCATTGACACGTGGTGCGACTGGACTGTGTCATGTCATCTCTGTAGGTTTCAACTTCCAGAGATGCAGGGTATCTTACAAAGGCCATGAGAGAGAGCCTATGCAGGAGGACTCTTCAAGAAAACACACTTGGGCCTAAATGAAAACCCTAGATACAAAGCACAAAAAAGTTCAAAACCTTCACTGAGCTTCACAGATCAAGACCAATCTGCACTAAGCAAAACAACCTCCAGCCTCTCCCATCTCTGCTCACAGCCATTCATGTGTGCTAGGGTAAACACTGCTCCAATATCACAATAAAATACATTTACAACAATATAGAATTAAAAAAAAATTAAAGGAAGCAGGAGGGGAAGAGCATGAAGAAATGCGTTTCCTTCAGTGAGCGCGAT